ATATAGTAATAGTTTATTAGGACTCTCTTGCAGTTACAGAAACAACTGAATTAACGAGTACTTTACAATAGATAAGAATATGCTATAAAATAGTACATGGATATGCTTTAGAATCTAGGCTATTTACAAGAGTTAAAATCATTAGGCATTTACCAAAATAGTAAATAGTGCATGCATAATTATTTACAATTTTCATATATATTAAAAAAAATCTTAACATATTAAGAGTATTTAAATGTAAAAAAGGATTGAGCTTTAATTGTTCTGCAATCAGTAACATTATTAAATAGATAAAATCGATCAGTGTTCTGTCTCAAATTAATGTCATGGTCAGAAACAACATATTAAGAGTATTTAAATGTAAAAAAGGATTGAGCTTTAATTGTTCTGCAATCAGTAACATTATTAAATAGATAAAATCGATCAGTGTTCTGTCTCAAATTAATGTCATGGTCAGGAACAACAGGGATTGGCAATAAGGGATGGTTTTCTCGCCTCATTCTGACCATGTATTTCTGACATATTTGCACTCTTCTTGTGGTTAAAGTTGGTAGTTGTGCAACATTCAGGGCCTCCGCATATGACTCGCTCTCCGAGAAAATTATCTTTAGTGCTCGTTTTTGGACCGACTCAATTTCCTTCGATAGATAATCCGGAATGTTTTGCCAAATAGGGACGGCGTACTCAAGTACCGGTCTTACTGTGCACAGGTACACTTTCAGTAAATTCTTTTGGTCAACCCCAGCTCTTCGCAGGGCTCTTAAAGGGTATAGTTTTTTGTTAGCCTTCTTAACAATGTATTCGATATGGGGATTCCATTTTAGGTCGCTACTCAAAATGACACCCAAAGATTTATACGTTGTCACACGCTCAATAATATTGTTACCAATTTGGATTGGTCGGAGTAAAGAAATTGGGGTTATGTAGGAAGTTTATAAGCATTTCCTTACACTTCTTAGGATTGAGCTTCATGTTATGTTCATTAGCAAATTCATGTATATCAGAGACTGCAAAATTAAGGAGGCTGATAGAGTTCCTAGGAATAATCTCGAGGGCTGAAGTATCATCCACGAATTTTGTACGGAGATGCCAATTAGCCAGTAAGCTATTTGTCATGACCATAAAAAGTACCACTCCGAGTTTAGTCCCTTGGGGTATTCCTCCCTTCAGAGTTTGCCATTGAGAAAGGACACTACCAATTCTAACCGCCTGCCTACGATTGAATAAAAAGGCTGAGATCCAGGACAGCAAGGCAGGGTGAACCTGGAGCTTATACAGTTCTTGTATTAAAATAGAGTGGTCAATTAGGTCAAAACCTTTTGAGAAGTCTGCGAAGAAGATACGAGCACCAGCTTCGCCCCCGTCCAATGCCTCATGAATTGTTTGCATCATGTAGAGAAGGGCATCTGTTGTTGAGTGCCCTTTGCGGGCATATTGGCGAGGGTCGATTTTTCCTTCCAAGTCCTTTAATAGTCTAGTGCAAGTAAAGCCTTCCATAACTTTTGCCATTGAAGAAGTAAGCGAGATTGGGCGGAGATCATTTTCAATTGTTTGAGGAGGTGATATCTTCGGAACTGGAATTACGATAGATGACTTAAGTGGTGATGGGATATTCGCTTCTTTCATTGACTGGTTGTAAATATTACGAATGACTGGAGCCAGTTCAGGAGCAAACTCTTTCAGGATTCTATTCGGGATATTATCAGGGCCAATCGCCTTACTAATTTGCAGTGATGCTAATGCTTTAAACACCTCACTTTCCGTAACCAAGAATTCTTCCGGGATTTGCATAGGTGGAGTTGGTTGGCTCAGAGGGGCGAAGTGATCTGTAAGACTAACAAAGAAGTCGTTCACTTTATTAGCTAGGGATTCTATATCCATGTTGTTATCAAGGAACTGATGATACCATTCCTGTCGGATATTTTGACCTGATAGTTTTTTAATCTCTTTCCACCACTTTACAGGGTTAACTCTATCAACATCTGCTACCTTACTATGAAAGTAATTGGATTTTGCTGACTGGATCGCACGTTGAACCTTATTCCTCCAAAAACTATAGTCTTTAGAATTTTTTCCTTGTTGTTGGAATACACATTGGCGTCTAGAAATCCACAGTTTTATCGTATTAGTAATCCACGGTCGATCTGTCGGATGCTTTTTAATCATTTTCTGTGGGAGAAAGGTATTAACTGCTTGGTCAAGCTCTGACATAAAGAGGTCAAATTTATCTTTGCTCGTACTCGCACTTAATACCGATGACCAGTTTTTTTTGGTTATCCATCGTCCAAAGGCACACCACGCAGAGTTCCGCATGTCCCGGATTCTAATTTTGGTAATAGTCTGTTTAGATGATATTGCTATATTTGGTTTTGCTAAGATCGTATAGTGGTCAGACGAACCAACCTTTGGCAATCTAGATACTTCAAACATCTTAGGTCTATTTGTTAACAGCCAATCCAATACGGCAGAATCTCTGGTTTTAAAAGATATAAGTTGTTTAAGATGGTTCACCTGTGTGATATATTTCATTTTAAAACCTGTAGACGTGGGATTAAAGTCACCTGTAAGTAAAACAAGAGCGTTAGGTTCCTTAAAGAGTAATGAGTCAAGGTTATTCTGCACATGGTCTCTAAGGACAACATTCTCAGGTTCTTTATTGGATGTTGAATGATATATTACTCCTAGAATAATGGATGTAATTTCTCTTGGGAGTTTATGTGGTCTTAATGAAATCCAAATTGATTCTACATCAGATTGGTCACATGAATCCAAACGGTTACAAGGTATTTTATGATCCAAATATACACAGACCCCACCACCAGAAGATCCTATGCGATCCCTACGAAATAAGTTGAATCCAGGGATAGATACGCAATGATCAGGAATGTCAGGTGATAGCCACGATTCAGTAATGCAAATAACACTTGCAGAGTTTAGCTCTGCAATTTGCTGGAGCTCGTCAATTTTCTTTGGTAATGATCTAACATTAGTGGACAATATAGTCGGGATATCATAGGATTTTGGGGGATTCTTATTAGTAACAAGGGGAATTGAGATCAGGTTGTTAATATTTCGGGTCTTCCGGGTATAATCCTTAATCAATATCTGATTGTTCTCGTGGGCATATCCATTAGGGGTTGCAAGGTCGGTAAGGGTTGTATGAAAGGCTGCGCGTACAAATGGTTCATAAGTGGGTGAGATATCGCAGGTGGAAACAAAGGGCCGGGATATGGACTTGGTTCCCGAAAAGGGGATGGAAAACCTCTCGGGTCAGACTGCAGAGGTCGCTGGGAATTAATATAGTGGGAAAAATCGCCGGGGTATGGACTTGGAACTCGAAAAGAGGATGTAAAACCACTCGGGCCAACCTGCAGAGGTCGGTGGGAATCAGCAGAGTGGGAAAAATCACATTTAGATCCCTTTACACAATGTCTCTTTCTACGTAGAAAGGGACAAGGCACTAAATGTTTCGGAGTTTGGGTATTTGGATATGATGGTTTATTAAATCTGGTAGTAGGATTTGGGTTATTTTGACTGGAGATCTCGCTTACACTAACGTTAGTGGAATTTAGATCATTGACATCATTAACTTCAATATCGACTTTTTTGGCTTCAGTGGTTAGTATGAGGGGAATAGGATCATTTGCTTGGTTGCCTCCCTTTGTATTATGAACATTCTTAATGATCGAGTGGGCAGCCACTGTGGTAACTTCGTTATTAAACACCGGGTTTCCTCCTGAGAGAATGCTATTCTGTTTAGACGTATGTGTAGGGGTTTGCGGCCTTTTGTCTATGTTTGTTTTAGTTTTGCGAGATTTAGTAGCTTTTATAAGTCCCGCTCCTTCGTTATCAAGCACAATAATCGGTTCGTCGCTCAGTCCACTTTGAGAATGGGTTATATCGCTGTCTATCTGAGTCATTACGGATTTAGTTTTATTCAAGCAATTGTTGTGTGGGTCGACATTTGCATCCTTTTGTTTAGAGTGATACTCATAGTGCTGATAGAATCTTGATATAAAATTTTTAGAGTAGTTGTAAGGCTATCTTTTTGGTTCTCAAGATCCTTTACTTTATAATTCAAATCAGATAAAGCGTATTTAGTTATGTGAAGACTATCTTTCAAAGCATTGTTTTCTTCCTTAAGTTTTGTATTTTCTTGCCGTAATCCATTTACGCATTCAAGCCCATTATTTAGGCAGTAGTTCTTTAAAATATTCATATCGTTAACCACTGTTAGAATTTTATCCATAAATTTAGACTCAAAATACTTGATTTCGGTTTCAATTTTATCAATTCTATTAGTCGTATTTGTAGGCAAGGGTGCAGTTTGATCAATTGCTTCGCTCATACCTGCAACTTTTTCTCCCAGACTAGTACAGCCAATGTGGATGTCTTTATCAACGTTGGCTTGCTCACCTAGACTAGAACAGCCATTGTGCTTGCCTTCATCAGCGTCGATTAGTTCACAATTTTCAGGGGTTTCATCCTGACAATCGGAAGCTTTTCCTGATATAGACGTCAACACATTAGTAAGGTCTAATGTGTCACTAGGATCTCCAATCACCGTTATCCATTTAGTAGACTTCCCATGCCATTTTATACTTAAATTATCACTCGTGAATAGTTTGACTTCGCCGCCAGGTGAAGTCCAACGACCTGTCAGCTTTAGATCGTCTAAAACAAATTTTTTCAGCTCGCACCACGTGCTGGCCCAATAAAATCTCTCTCCGTTAGTCTTTAGATTCAAATATAATTCGTTGGCCATAGTTAGTAACTATTGTGGCGATATTCTATACAAGATATTGGACGAGTTTATACGGAGCTCAACTTAGCACGTCTGCTCACGTCAGTATCATATAGATACTCTTCTACAATAAGATGTCGTGTTTTCTTTCTGGTAAAGTTCTACTATATATAATATAAATATGAGTACACCTTTGGTTTGGTGCACCAGCAACACAGAAGGTTTTACAATGTCTTTGTTTGCCTTTTTTCAAGCTTCGTCCTCCATGCATTGTTTGATATGCATTGATATTCTCGAAGCGTGCGGCGTGCCCTGCTCTTTACGTCGCCGTAAGTGATTTGACAAACTTTGTCCTCGCCCATATTTGTCTCAATTTTCATTCGACGTTTGTGAAGGCCTACTCTGGAACCTAAAATCGCCTTAAATCGCCTAAAATCGCGGGTTAAAATTGTCAAATTTCTCTTAAATCGCCTAAAATTGCATTAAGCCAACAGGTATTGTGTTTGATGCATTTGGTCTATATACTCATGTTATCAATTGCTGCTATTTAATTGCTAGTAAATCGAGGTGTTTTGCAATAAAGAGTAGTTCAACATGGATCAATCAAATAAGTGGATTAGGCTGACAATATTTGGTCACTCAATAATCAACGGTCATTGATAATAACTTCCTATCAACCGAACGCGAGGCTATGGTCTGTACAGAGAAATATCGGACCGAGGTCTTTTTAGTGTACAGACCGAGCCCGTAGGGCGAGATTTGTAGAAAAAGACTAAGGTCCGATATTACTCTGTACATATACCGAGTAAGCGAGGTTAATAAGCAAGGTTAATATACTTGAAACAAACAGGAAATGCATGATTTGAAATGCATATTAGTGGCGTGTTGCACATTTGGTCGAATAAAACAAAAAATATACCAATGTATTCCTTCTTTTACACTAAAAACCACTTGCAGATATCGTATTAATAACAGATTAAATAATAATTTTCAAATTTTCAATTAGTTTTGCCGCTATGTTTTAAAATGAATACGTTAATTTGTTTTATGTAAGTATTAAAGGGAACGTAATGTAAGGTGAAACTGCTCCTCAGCCAATCACAGTCCGCCACATCACTCGAAGTGATGCTCGCTATATAACAAAAACAGTTATTTTCTGTCTTATACAGACTTTACAATAATTAGGCAATTCTAGGACTAGGATCTAAAAGACCCATAGATCCCGTACACTACCAGCATTAATTTCATTATTTGATCTATTAGAGGGAGGCTGGGCTACAATCTACAATTTATATGACTCATTGGAGCCTAATTACTCGTCATCAGTTAATGGATCGGCAATTTCCAATCGTCGTGGATAGCCACAAAATAGAATATACACGAAATCGATACAAAATCCAATATATCTTTTTCAAAATGGACGCCTTTCGTGGAGTGGGCAAAATGTTTCAGACAATTACGTCAAAATTTTCAACGAATTGTACCTATTTTCTATGGATTTTGCATTGTGTCTAACTCTAGACATTCTTGCTAGTTTAGTTAATGCATTTTTCTTGGTGCACGACTCTGAAAATCCGAAACTTGGATCGTTGCACTCCCGTGCACGAGTACACAGTACTGAATCTGAATATATAAGCGAGTGAATACAATTTCAAGGTAAAAAGTTATAACTTAAACTACACAACGTAGTTTTGCAAGGAGATGGAATCTTGTAGGGAAGTTCTGAAGGATAACTTGGTTAACGTTTTAAAAGATATGCCACAGCCGTCGTGCTGTATCACTCTATACTCTTCATTCCAATTCAGACCTATCAACCTCGTACCCAGGCTCGTTCTATTACGCGCATCGCTGGAGGAAAGAACCTGGTCCAGGCTGGCCACGTGTCTCCCAGATTTTGGGAGATAACAAATGGGACTTATGGGGGGTAGGGAAGGCAAGTAGCGTTCGATTTCAAAACAATACAAGGACTGCGAAAAAAGCAACACATTGAAACCTGAGTACAATGAAACAAAGTTTTATTGGCATGTATTTTTCATAAAATACGTCATAACGGCTATTGTAAGGGACAAAGTTGTTAATAAGGCCTGTCTGGTCAGCCTGGACGTTTGAAATTAAACTCAAAAACATTAATAGACGATAGATGTTCTTCTCGAAGCTCACTCAATGACAAAGTAAGCGGGTTCAGTTCTAAATGTCACCAAGAAAAGGCAGAATCCTCAGAAAATTGCTATTGAGTGTTGTACTCGGTAGAACATTTGTTTAACCAGAATCATGATTGGATATTAATTGATATTTGTGAGCGATTATAAAATAACCGCTTTTCGCGTAAAGTACTGTGTGGTCGATTTGCCAATTTTGTTGAATTGAACATGTTTTATAAGTACATTAATATACACAGTATTTAGTTGGATATTCTCTCTAATAAATCCTATATTTTGGGTATTTATAGGAGCGTAATGCGTATTTATTTGCAATCGATTGCATGTCTCCCCAGTTAAAATATGATCAATGTTTAATAAAATTGTATATTTTCTTACTGTTATTTCTATATGCATGTGTCGTGTTATCAAGCCGTTCCAGTTATGATTAAAACACGGCAATTCACAATAGACTCACTGTTGGCTTCTTTGTGCTAGGCAAATCTTTGCTTGTCTTTGAGTATATTACAAATCCTTTCCTAGTACTTCTTTGCGGTTTTCCCAATATGAAACTGAAAGACTCCAGTATGTAGATCTTGCGTAGCAACGTAGCAAATGCAATCCACAAAGAATACAAATACAAAGACATCTCACCCATTCATTTTGCAACACAAGCTCTTGCCATTCATTAAAATTGCATGCATTTGTTAAAATACACACACTCTGAACTTTATCGAATTGATATCGGCAACTTGATCGGTAAAACAAACTTAGCCCCTACCTTTATTTAAAAATTTTGATATCTCCCAAAATCTGAGAGACACGTGACCAGCCTGGACCAGGATCTTTCCTCCAGCGAGGCGCGTAGTGAAAAGAGCCTGGGTACGAGGTTGCAGACCTATTTGTTTGGAAAAATGGCTCTAAGAAAACTCGTGAGAAAATACGATCGTTCGTATTAAATAAACGTGATTAAAGGTAAACACTGGGAACCAATCTGTTTATATATTTCTTCTTTAAGGGCATGCATCATAATCGCCTGAAACTTCACGTTGGTCAATTTAGCAAAATTTCTCCCACTCGTGCGGCCTCGTACTGTCAGCGGACATCTTACAGAAAGTGACCGGTTCTTTGAAAAATGCAAAAGTTTCAATTTTCACCGCAAGTCCGCTGAAAATGCGAGCCTACGATACTGGGAGAAAATTTGCTGAATATGACCAGCGTGTTTCGCAGTCAACTGCTTCTAGAGTTGCATTTTCGTGACTAGTATCATTTTATTCATCCTCTATAATATACCCAGGAATATAATTGTAGTCTGAGTCACATTCAGAAACACGAGTGCTGGAAAGCATACAAAATATAAATAAATGTATAATGCGCGTCGTTTTAAGTTCCTGAAGCTACGTCACACCACGCTGGTCCCAGACTCTTGTAGATACGCGACATTTTACTCACATTTTTAAGAAAATCGCTGTTTAGAGCCTCATATCTCGAGAAAACCGACAAATCAAAACCAAAAAATGTTAAATAATCCATTAAATTAACTAACTTTCTGTCCTCTACTCAAAAGTAAAAAAAATATTGCAGGACGTTTGATATTTGATATAACTTTGGTATCGTTGTTTTTTTTTTCTTTTTCGGCCGTATACCAATGGATTCGTCTCATTTCTCTCTTCATTTTGATAGTATTTTGAGCCCAAAAGCCCCCAAATATTTTATTTTGAACGTTTTAAAGCGTAGTTAATCCTAGCGTACGGACCAACTGGCGGCCGAACTTTGTCTTGTTGCTGTTAGAACAACATTATTTTAAGTTCTTTGAATGTTTGCATGGCGATAAAATATAATTGTTTTTGTTTGTGGAAACACCACGTAAATTTATTAGCATATTATTAGCACTGATGAAGATCCGGGCTTACGGTCGAAAGCTTTGCAGTAATAAATCAACATTATTTTGTTTGATAAAAATGGAATATTCTGTATTCAAAGTGGAAGAGCAGAATGATGGCCGCAAATTTGTTCGGCACGGGCAGGTTTTCTATAAATCTTGGGAATGTTTTTGAAGAATGTGTTCATTTTGTCTTTTCAAGAACGAGGGAATATTGTAGAGAAGTTTGTTTGTTTGCGTACTATTTTGATTTTCGGCTAAAATGTTCGTTATCCAAACACGAAATTATATACTAAAATGCGTATTAAATTCTTCAGTACATTTTACCGAAATGGCATTATATGTGATAAAAACCGACGGAACATACTTGCAGGTTCGCTGAGTCCGAAATTGGACACACCTCGGATGAAAGGAAATTAACCCGAATTCCAGCCACCCTCGATGCGCGACTCACCTCCCGGCACGTATGTTTGTTATAAACCTTCAATCATTTTAGTCAAACCATTCGAACGAATAATAGGAGATTTTTCGGAAAACAAAATTGAAGATCTCGCTATTTTGTTGCAATTCGACATCTCATCAATACTTAAATTATTTGGTCCCAGTATCAGGATAGACTTTAATACTAAATAAATAACAACCACATTGTTCCGTCTAGAGATATATTAATTTTCATGTAGGGTTATTGCTACGCTGCCCAAGCGGTAAGCATGCGCTTTCCTTGGCAAGTCTATATAAGTTGATAAATTGAATATTATAATCTGATCCAACTTGCTTGAATCATAATTCGACGCCAGATTATAGATTAGAAAGTCACGATATAAATATTAATTTAAGAGTTCCCTTCACGATTTCTTGTTGCAAATTTTTTAAATTTCATCCCCAAAGTTGCAATTTTTAAAACGCGACAAACACGGTCCTCGATCTCCCACCCTAGAAAGCACCTGACCAGCCGCAGCCAGGGTCTCTCCCAATGGACATACCCTGGGAACGAGGTTGCCATAGATATATAGGTATACTTTATAACTATACATCAATCGGGTGGCGATTATTAATAAGCTATATTTCGCAATATATTTCGCTAATTTTTGATTTTTTCGTTAATTTTATAATTTCACAGCAGTTCTAATTTAACTTCACCCGTTTTGTGGGCTGCCTATGGTGCAATTACCATTATTAATTTAATATACAAAACAGCTAATAAAATTAATTAGAAAAGAATTGATGGATCACTCAAGCTCTCCAATATTTATTGCAATCCATATGATGACAGACTACAAATCTCAACAAACGACGTCTTTGTAAATGCACACACAAATTTTTATCACTTTATAAAACAGAATACATCCAGGAAATCAATTAGACGTGCATGCTTTACAGTATATGCCTAGTCAACTAGCTATTTAAAGTTTTACCATAAAAAGAGCCACAAAACGAATTGCATGCATATATTATATAATCCGGGCAAAAATTTGTCTGCATGGAAGTCGTTCAAGGGAAACACTAGAGAAAAAAAAGAGAGAGTAAGTTTTAGTCTTTCTTATCCGCTGTCAACTATATAGGTAGAAAGCGAAGTTGATTCGCCCAAATTATGCGTTTGGACCATAGGATAAAATATCTTACGTAATAAATACCGTATCCACTACGCTAAAATATACTACAAAAATCATTGTGTATTTAAAAAAAAGATTGAGTAAAATACTGTACCCACAGCGACTCAAAAATTTTGTGGAAAATTACCCAAATTATAGTACAGTTTCAAATTTACTCATTTTTTCAGTAAAGATTAACTTTATTAGAAAAATGGGTAAATGCAGTACTCATAAATTCGCACAACGTGGCTATGAATGGCACCTTACTAAATTTATCTGTACGAATTGAAGACTTTGTTGATGATATACAGTTAGGTTATAGTTAAGGTGGTCTTACACCCAAAAGTATGGTCTCCGACCTTTTTTTAATTATGCTTAAATTGAATCGTAAATCATGTTTGAATGATGTGATAAAAAACATTTCGTGATAAAATGACAAGAAATATAAAGCCTAAGTGTTGTTTTTCGCTTTAGCAACGCCCTTAGCAACGGAAAAATATATACAACAAACTGTTTTGTTTTCCTTTTCTTTTCTACATGTCCCTCCCCTGGACAGCATTTTTGTATCTATCGAGTAATACAGCCGCTAACTATAGAGTACTGCTGTTTTAGGCACGTTTTCAAAACGTTTTCATCGACAGTGGCGGAAATCTTGGTGGGGCAGGGGGGCGGCCGCCCCCCCCCCCCCACACCTTCATGGAAAATTGCCGAATTTTCGGAAATTTTGACCTAAAAGAGGGCTAAAAATAGTCTTTTCGAGTGCAAATTGGGGGGGGGTATGTCGGACATTTGAAAGTTTTGTCGGAAATTTAAGAGGCTTTGCCCCCCCCCCCCCGGAAAAAGTGAATTTTCGCCACTGTTCATCGAGATATTTCGAAAAGTAAATTTACAGAAATTGCTTATTCTTTGTTGTTTCGTATTGAATTTGTCGATCGATTTACTATTATAAGCATGCCACGAAAATATCAAGGTAATCAGTGGTCACAGGGTAAAAAGACCAAGTGTAGCGATAGTGATGTAACCAACACAAACAAAGGTTCGGCTTCAACAAGTCATGCTAGTGCCTCTGCAAGGAAGTTGAGTAACCGTCTAAAACCTACAGCTAAACTAATAAAAAGCTAGATGGATATCGTATTTTTAGTCTTGAAATACTTTCAAACCTGTTGAAACAAGTTGCTTGTCAGAAATGTAACGAAAGGTGTCTGTGTTTGTAAGGAGATAACAAAGGAAGGCAAGGTTGCTCGTCATATCTCAGTAACGTCTGCTCTAGTTGTGATTGGAAGCACTGCTTCTATATACTTCAAAGAAAATAAATAAAGGTTTTGAAGTTAATAAAAGGCTTGTCTATGGCATGAGATTAATAGGATAAGGAAGTGCTTCTGTCAAACGTTTCTGTGGGATAATGAATATGCCTTCTACACCTAAAGCAAATGCCAAATCTAAGAACAACAAAGCCATCCTGAAAGCATTTAAAACTGTTGCTGAGAAGAGCATGATGGATGCGAGTGATGAAATCCATGGAGTGAAAGGAAGCAACGATGCTGGGAACTCAATGTGGAGTTTCTTGTGATAGAACGTCGCAGAGAAGAGTGCATTCATCAATGAATGGCTGCGTGGCAACACTCTCGATTGACACTGGCAAGTGCATTGATGTCGCAGTGTTAAGTAAAGTGTGCCGGCGAGGGTGTCAAAGACACAAGGACAGCGATGATCCAAAGGAAAACTTAGTTTGGGAAGCTGAACACAAAAATAAATGCAAAGCCAATTATTCTGGTTCTTCTGCTTCAATGGAAACAGTGGGAGTTAAGAAAATATTTGGCCGCAGTCAAGAGAAGTACAAACTACTGTCCAATATACAGAGTGTTTTGACAATGGGTACAGCAAAGGTTTGAGTGAAGTTCAGGATATATACAGCAAATAGAATGTTAAATTGGCGAAAAAAGATGTGTTGGGCATGTCCAAAAGCGAGTAGGAACTACCCTTCGGAAGCTTAAGATGGAGAATAATTAAGCGATTAGGAGGGAAAGAAAAGTTGACAGATGCTTTGATTGATCGGCTTCAAATTTACTATGGCATTGCAATTCGGAGCAATGTTGGAAGTCTGGAGGTAATGAAAAAAGATATTCAAGCTAGTCTGATGCATTGCATAGCCTCAAAGAGACGAAATCTCCATATGATTTGTCCTGCTAGTGCTGATAGCTGGTGTCGATTTCAACAAGATCGGGCCAAAGGAACATCCTTGTGCAAACCAGG